AATATTCTTCTCCAGCACCACAGCTCAAAGGCATCAATTCTCCTTCTATCCTCCTTGGTCATTGTCCAACTCTCTGATGCATAACAAGTGATTGTGAAGCATTTTATTACCTACATTGTAAAATAATTTCAAAGATATAAAAATAAAAATGGACAACTTAATTAAAATTCTTGGAAAACTCATATACTTAAAATTGCACCTGCAGTAACATATTTTTTAAAATTTTATTAATTTTAATGAACATTTACAGAGATATTAGATTTCCATTCATTCATTGTTGCACTATTTTCTCTACCCCCCAGTTCATTCTTTTTTTTCCTTGAAAATCTGTTTTAATTGTCCCATTGCCACAGTGCTTGTCAAAGCCAGTTCTGATTAATATCCTTTGCCATTGCCTATCACTCCTCCCTGAGAGAGATTTCACCCTGATTCATGAGGAGAAGGGGACGGCGTATTCTCTTAGCTACTTCCTGCTGAAAAGGGATGCTGTAGGGTACAGGGTGAAGATCTTCTCTCACTACTGATAGTCTCCTTAACAAAACACTAATATTGTCTTCCAGAATGAGGGTTTTGGTTTTTTTTCCCCTTTATGTAATTTAAAACCGGATTTGCACATAGTATGTTTGGATGACAGAGTCTGAAGGAAACATGTTTGTGAGGAAATGCTTTGGGAATTGGAGGAGTTGGCTTGGACACAAGACATAATAGGGAGATGTGACTCTACAGACTTTAAAATATCTGAAAACTCCTTATTAGGTGGAGGAAATCTTGCAGGGAGTTTCAGGGAAACAATCTGTTAAATAAACTTTTCTAGCAAATAGAACTGTTTATAAATAGCTGTTTGAGGAAGGCGTGAACTCTTCATGCTCTCAAGCAGAGGCCCCAGGGACATCCGTTAGAGATGTCAAAGTTTTGTTGCCTTTTCAAACTAAGGTTTTCTTTATTTTTGTGTGTGTATGTTATGAGCTGTAGAGTCAGAACCAACACATAGCTGACCCTCGGGCAGGTTTTCAAGGACTGTGAATTGCAAAGGAGATTGCTCCTGTTTCTCCTGCAGAGTTACTGGCAGATTCTACCATGAGAGAGATGTCCTTTTTGGGTTACCAATGCAACCTCCTACCCACTAGAAAGCTCTGCTGGCTAGGTGGTAAGGAACTACACTGCCAATGCAAAGGCACACGGTTCAAATCTACCAGCCATTCTGTAGGAGAAAGATGGTCCATGCACTGCCTCTGAAAATCCCCCTGGAGGGTCAGTTCTGACTGGATGGTACATTAACAAAAACAACCCACTAGGGCACTAGACTTATTACCATAAAAGTGCATGTGGTACTTATTATTTAAAAATAGTCAAAGTAGTCAGAGTAAAAATTTTTGTTTTGAATATTAAATTTAACATAGGCTTCTCTCACCGGCACCCCTCCTCCAAAGATAAGCCTTTTCTAGATTACTGACTTAAACTTTTCTGAAAGGTTTGAGACACTTTAGTGTATAATGCCTCCTAGTGGAGATTGAGTTCAATTTTAAATGACGTTTCTGTGCTGAAAAAGCTGATCTAAGTTGTAATTGTTGCTTTCCATTATTAACAGAGAAACATTTGGAGTATATTTTAATGCTGTTAGTACACTTGTTATTGTGCTCATTTTCATGACAATTACTCATTTAATAAACAAACCTTTTTAACTCTGTAATCTTGGACAAGTTCTTAATCACTGCCAAGTGTGGTTCTTCATGTGTATGTGGAGCAGATAATAAGATTAGGGTTGCTGAAAAAAATGTGATAATTACAAAGCGTTTATGTAGTTCTTGGGACATAGTATATACTGAATACAGGTTAAGTACTGTCAATTTTAATCAAATAATGGATAATCAAGTGGAACTAGGGTTGAACAAAGCAGATATAAGACTGATGCCCGTGCCACGTGACCCAGAACAGTACTCCTAGTTTATATTTTAAGGTTAAGGTATCCTGCTGGCACAGTGGTTGAGTCCTCAGCTGTTTACTGAAAAGTTGGCAGTCTGAACCCACTAGTCACTTTGCCAGTGAAATATGTGGCAGTCCACTTCCATAAAGACGTCAACCTGGGAAACTCAAAGGGAAACCCTATTGAAATGGACATGGTGGCAGTGGCTGGTGTGGTGTGGTGAAAGGCTTAAACAATGCCCATTCAAAGACCTCAGGTAGCCTGTTTCCATTAGCTGGCCACAAGGACATAGAGCATGTTTGTGGTTTTGTTTTTTTTTTTAATTATTTTTACTTAAGTATTCTTTCATTTTTGTAAATTTTATTTTATTAATTTTAATGAACATTTACAGAGATTTTGGATTTCCATTCATTCATTGTGGCACTTTTCTCCCTGCCTAGCCCTCCACATCCCTCCCCACCCCCACCAGTTCGCTCCTCTTTGAAAAGCAAAAGAAAAATTCCTTCTTTGGTATACAATCCCCCCGCACCCCTCCCACCGCCCTGAGTACACTCCACTATGCAACCTTAATTCTGGACTCTTGTGATAACCATAATACCCTATCATATATTGCTTTTAAATTACTCTCCCTCATCT